CTCCCGTCTCCCCCCTGTCTCCCAGTGTCTCTCTCCCAGTTCCTCCCCCCTGTCTCCCCGTGTCTCCCCCGGTCTCCCCGTTGTCTCTCTCCCCTGTCTCCCCCTGTATCCGTGTCTCCCCCCTTTCTCCCGTGTCTTCCCCGTCTCCCCCCCTGTCTCCCCGTGTCTCTCTCCCCGTTCTCCCCCGCTCCCCGTGTCCTCCCCCCTGTCTCCCCGGTCTCCACCCTGTCTCCCGTGTCTCTTCCCGTGTCTCACCCCCTGTCGCCAGTGTCTCCCCCTGTCTCCCCGTGTCTCCCCCCTGTCTCCCCGTGTCTCTCTCCCCTGTTCCCCCCGTCTCCCGGTCTCTCCCCTTGTCTCCCCGTGTCTCTCCCCTGTCTCCCCGTGTCTCTCTGTTTCTCCCCCTGTCTCCCACGTGCTCTCTCCCCGGGTCTTCCCGTTCTCCCGTGTCTCTCTCCCCGGTATCCCCCCTGTATCACCGTGTCTCCCCCTGTCTCCCCGTGTCTCCCCCCTGTCTCCCAGTGTCTCTCTCCCCGTGTATCCCCCCTGTCTCCCGTGTCTCCCCCCTGTCTCCGTGTCTCCCCCCTGTCTCCCGTGTCTCTCTCCCCTGTTCTCCCCCCTGTCTCCCGTTGTTCTCTCCCCTGTCTCCCCGTGTCTCTCCCCCTGTCTCCCCGTGTTCTCCGTGTCTCCCCCTGCTCCCCGTGTCTCTCTCCCCGTGTCTCCCCCCTGTCTCCCCGTGTCTCCCCCTGTCTCCCCGTGCTCTCTCCCCGTGTCTCCCTCCGTGTCTCCCCGTGTCTCCCCCCCTGTCCTCCACGTGTCCTCCCCCCTGTCTCCCCGGTGCTCCCCCCTGTCTCCCCCGTGTCTCTTCTCTCCCCCCGTGTACTCTCCCTGTCTCCCCTGTCCTCTCCCCGGTCCTCCCCGTGTGCCTCTCTGTGTCCCCCCCTGTCTCCCCGTGTCTCCTCTCCCTGTCCCGTGTCTCCCCCCTGTCCTCCCCGTGGTCTCCCCCCTGTCTCCCCGTGTCCTCCCCTGTCTCCCCGTGTCTCTCTCCCCGTGTCCTACCCCCCTGTCCTCCACCGTGTCTCCCCCCTGTCTAGCCCCCGTGTCTCTCTCCCCGTGTCTCCCCCCTGTCTCCCCGTGCTCCCCCCTGTCTCCCCGTGTCTCTCTCCCTTTTCCTCCCCCCGTTCTCCCGTGTCTCTCCCCTGTCTCCCCGTGTCCTCCCCCCTGTCTCCCCGTGTCTTCCCCTGTCTCCCGTGTCTCCCCTGTCTCCCCGTGTCTCTCCCCTGTCTCCCAGTGTCTCTCCCCTGTCTCCCCGTGTCTCTCTGTGTCTCCCCCTGTCTCCCCGTGTCTCCCCCCTGTCTCCCCGTGTCTCTCCCCTGTCTCCCCGTGTCTCTCTCCCCGTGTCTCCCCCTGTCTCCCCGTGTCTCCCCCCTGTCTCCCCGTGTCTCTCTCCCCGTGTCTCCCCCCTGTCTCCCCGTGTCTCCCCCCTGTCTCCCCGTGTCTCTCTCCCCTGTCTCCCCCCTGTCTCCCCGTGTCCTCTCCCCTGTCTCCCCGTGTCTCTCCCCTGTCTCCCCGTGTCTCTCTGTGTCTCCCCCCTGTCTCCCCGTGTCTCTCTCCCCGTGTCTCCCCCCTGTCTCCCCGTGTCTCCCCCCTGTCTCCCCGTGTCTCTCTCCCCGTGTCTCCCCCCCTGTCTCCCCGTGTCTCCCCCCTGTCTCCCCCCTGTCTCCCCGTGTCTCTCTCCCCTGTCTCCCCGTGTCTCCCCCCCTGTCTCCCCCCTGTCTCCCCGTGTCTCTCCCCCCTGTCTCCCCCCTGTCTCCCCGTGTCTCCCCCCTGTCTCCCCGTGTCTACCCCCTGTCTCCCCGTGTCTCTCCCCTGTCTCCCCGTGTCTCTCCCCTGTCTCCCCGTGTCTCTCTGTGTCTCCCCCCTGTCTCCCCGTGTCTCCCCCCTGTCTCCCCGTGTCTCTCTCCCCTCTCTCCCCATGTCTCTTTGTCTCTCTGTGTCTCCCCGTGTCTCTCTCCCCGTGTCTCTCTCCTCTGTCTCCCCCTGTCTCTCCCCTGTCTCCCCGTGTCTCTCTCCCCGTGTCTCTCTCCCCGTGTCTCCCCCCTGTCTCCCCGTGTCTCTCCCCCTGTTTCCCCGTGTCTCCCCTGTCTCCCCGTGTCTCCCCCCTGTCTCCCCGTGTCTCCCCCCTGTCTCCCCGTGTCTCTCCCCTGTCTCCCCGTGTCTCCCCGTGTCTCTCCCCTGTCTCCCCGTGTCTCTCCCCTGTCTCCCCGTGTCTCCCCCCTGTCTCCCCGTGTCTCTCCCCTGTCTCCCCGGTCTCTCCCCTGTCTCCCCGTGTCTCCCCCCTGTCTCCCCGTGTCTCCCCCTGTCTCCCCTGTCTCCCCGTGTCTCCCCCTGTCTCCCCGTGTCTCTCCCCTGCTTCCCCCGAGACCCTGAGTCTCCCCGCTCTCTTGACTAACGTGTGCCGTGCAGAAGGCCCATTGACCGAAACGTCGCCTATTATATATTATTCAATGCGTTTTAAAGCCGCGGTTTTATTCTGTTAAATCAGCTTAATAACGCGTCGGCTTTCGCGACCAATATTATACAAAATAAAAGCGGGAGGGGATTTTTGGTGTTAGATCGCCTAAATATAAATGCGTCTTGATTTAAAGCTTTCGTGACTGCAGGGATTCATATTCTTGGTTCTTTCGGTAAAGTCACGTAGAAGGGAAATAATTAAATAATAAATATATCAAACAATAAAAATTCTCACGACGTTTCGACTGCAACACAAGCAATCATCATCAGATGATTGATTGTGTTACAACTCTGATAATGATAATGTATGCACTGTCCTTGAAGTTGATTGGTCCACACCCGAGACAGCTTTTCTTAGAGCCTAGTCTCCATTGGTGTTGGACCAGATGACGCCAAAAGGCGTATCATTTTCAGAGTTGTTTCTTTTTGTTTGCATTTTGACTGCTTGTGTTGTGGTTATTGCAAACATGATGATGCCTTGTATAAAGGTGTCAGTTTTTGTACCAGTTGAAAGGGTAAAAACCTACTACTATATTTTGCCACTGGTAAAGGAGATGCCTCATAGTGTAAATGCTTACTTACCCCGAGCTCTCAATACTCTGATAGTGCGTTGTTTTTGAGTTGTACGCCTTTTGGCGTCATCTGGTCCAACACCAATGGAGACTAGGCTCTAAGAAAAGCTGTCTCGGGTGTGGACCAATCAACTTCAAGGACAGTGCATATCATCATTATCATCAGAGTTGTTTCTTTTTGTTTGCATTTTGACTGCTTGTGTTGTGGTTATTGCAAACATGATGCCTTGTATAAAGGTGTCAGATTTTGTACCAGTTGAAAGGGTAAAAACCTAACCTATTACTATATTTTGCAACTGGTAAAGGAGATGTCTCATAGTGTAAAATCATTGTCGTTAAGCCCCTCCACCACCCGACCAGATTGTCACCGATGTATTGTTCAGATTGTGACCGTTAAAGTTCAAGCCCCTTCCTTGCCAGTACAATTCGAGGTAATCAAACCCTCTATAAATGTATGTTACCCTGTGGGAATCCGTGTACCCCATGTCACCCTATGAAAATGAGTTTTCACCATGGGTTGACTGAGTCCATCATCATCATTCATCCCTCCATGCGGGGCGGATAAAGCAATCAACCACTTTGTGTGGAAGTCACCAGCAGTTGTCATCTAGAAAGACTTCCCTACCCCCGTCATAGCAACGTGGAGTTTCCCACTAACTGGCTCTGGAGGGGCTGTAAACATTTCAGTGTTGGATGATTTGGGCCAGGAACTCGCACTTAGGCTTTTAATCTGACGTCCCTCGCCACCGATCTTGGCCGTGGCCAGGAATCAAACTCGGACAGTCGGGTTCAGAGTGTTGCATGCTGCTAACCGCTGCGCCACCGTTCCCCCCCCCCCCCAACACCGTCTTGTGTGATGCTCGACAAGGAGTGGAGCGAGAGTCGGGGACCTCGCTACCACCAGCCGCGACTCGGCTGCCAAGGAGGAAGTGCGGCCAACGTGTGGTGAGATCGCACACGCGGAACACACGCACGCGGTACACACACACACGCGGTACACACACACACGTGGTACACACGCAGTACACACACACACGGTACACACACACACGGGACACACACACACGGGACACACACGCACGGTACACACACACGCGGTAGACACACACACGGTACACACACACACGGGACACACACGCACGGTACACACACACGCGGAACACACACATGCGGTACACACATGCGTGGTACACACACACACGGGACACACACGCGGAACACACACATGCGGAACACACACATGCGGTACACACATGCGTGGTACACACACACGCGGTACACACACACACGCGGAACACACACGCGGTACACACACACGCGGAACACACACATGCGGTACACACATGCGTGGTACACACACACACGGGACACACACACGGTACACACACATGCGGAACACACACATGCGGTTCACACATGCGTGGTACACACACACGCGGTACACACACACACGCGGAACACACACGCGGAACACACACATGCGGTACACACACATGCGGTACACACACATGCGTGGTACACACACACGCGGTACACACACACACGGTACACACACACACGCGGTCCACACACACGCGGGTACACACACACACGGTACACACACGCGGTACGCACACACACGGTACACACACACACGGTACACACACACACGTACGCACACACGGGACACACTCGCAAGCGGAACACACTGACGTGCTGACACGCGGAACGCACTGTCACGTGGAACGCACACACAAGGAACACGCTGACACGCGGTACACACACACAAGGACCACGCGGTACGCACACATGCGCAATACACTGGCACACAGAACACCGCATTACACCGATGCATGGAACACACTGACGCGCTGATACACGGTACGCACACACAGGACACACTCGCACACACAGAACACCGCAGTATAAACGCGAAACACTAATGCGCACAACACACTGATGCAATGACACGTGGTACGCACACACGCGGCAAATACTAACACACTAACACACTGACACACAGCACACACACACACAGAGCACACTGACACGCGGTACACACACGGTACACACACACGCGGAACACACTGACATGCAAAACACTGCAGTACACACACACGTGTGAAGCACACTGACACGTGGAATGCACTGACACACTGACAAGTACACACACACACCCATGAAACGCACTGAAACGTACACACGGAATAAAACACCGTTACACGTGGACCGCACTGACACGCAGTACACGCATACATGAGGAACACACTCTGAGGCGCTGACGCACACTGACACGCTGACACACGCTGACACGCTGACACACGCAGACAATCTTCCCATTCTCACTGCATGTCACATGACCGGGACGCAGTGAGATTCGCAGTGAAGCAGCTGCTGCTGTATGTGTGCCGTTTCGTTTAGTTTTTAGTTTAGTTTAATGGTGTGGGTGCCGCTGCACGGGCATTCCACTCTGTATGTGTGCCGTTTGGTTTAGTTTTTAGTTTAGTTTAATGGTATGGGTGCCGCTGCACGGGCATTCCACTCTATCGACTTCCTACAGATGCTGCAGCCGTGCCAGTGATGATGACACTCATCTTAGCGCTGTCGCAGTGTTTCCTCGTGCTGCTGTGACGGTGGGAGTCGGGCAGCGCTGAGTACACGGTGCTGTGAGTACACGGTGCGTTATCGCAGTGTCTACTAGTGGTGAGTGATAGTGGGAGTCTAGGGCGGTGCTGTTAGTGCACGGTGCTGTGAGTGCACAGTGCTGTGAGTACACGGTGCTGTGAGTACACGGTGCGTTATCGCAGTGTCTACTAGTGGTGAGTGACAGTGGGAGTCTGGGGCGGTGCTGTGAGTACATGGTGCGTTATCGCAGTGTCTCTGAGTGGTGAGTGACAGTGGGAGTCTAGGGCGGTGTTGTCAGTGTGCGGTGCTGTGAGTACACGGTGCGTAATCGCAGTGTCTACTAGTGGTGAGTGACAGTGGGAGTCTGGGGCAGTGCTGTGAGTACACGGTGCTGTGAGTGTGTGGTGCGTTATTGCAGTGTCTCTGAGTGGTGAGTGACAGTGGGAGTCTGGGGCGGTGCTGTGAGTACACGGTGCTGTGAGTACACGGTGCGTTATCGCAGTGTCTACTAGTGGTGAGTGACAGTGGGAGTCTAGGGCGGTGCTGTGAGTACACGGTGCTGTGAGTACACGGTGCGTAATCGCAGTGTCTACTAGTGGTGAGTGACAGTGGGAGTCTGGGGCGGTGCTGTGAGTACACGGTGCTGTGAGTACACGGTGCGCTATCGCAGTGTCTCTGAGTGGTGAGTGACAGTGGGAGTCTGGGGCGGTGCTGTGAGTGTGCGGTGCTGTGAGTACATGGTGCGTTATCGCAGTGTCTACTAGTGGTGAGTGACAGTGGGAGTCTGGGGCGGTGCTGTGAGTACGCGGTGCGTTATTGCAGTGTCTCTGAGTGGTGAGTGACAGTGGGAGTCTGGGGCGGTGCTGTGAGTGTGCGGTGCTGTGAGTACACGGTGCGTAATCGCAGTGTCTACTAGTGGTGAGTGACAGTGGGAGTCTAGGGCGGTGCTGTGAGTACACGGTGCGTTATCGCAGTATCTACTAGTAGTGAGTGACAGTGAGAGTCTGGGGCGGTGCTGTGAGTGTGCAGTGCTTTGAGTACATGGTGCTGTGAGTACACGGTGCTGTGAGTACACGGTGCGTTATCGCAGTGTCTACTAGTGGTGAGTGACAGTGGGAGACTGGGGCGGTGCTGTGAGTACACGGTGCGTTATCGCAGTGTCTACTAGTGGTGAGTGACAGTGGGAGTCTAGGGCGGTGCTGTGAGTACATGGTGCGCTGTCGCAGTGTCTACTAGTGGTGAGTGACAGTGGGAGTCTAGGGCGGTGCTGTGAGTGCACGGTGCGTTATCGCAGTGTCTACTAGTGGTGAGTGACAGTGGGAGTCTGGGGCGGTGCTGTGAGTGTGCGGTGCTGTGAGTACACGGTGCGTTATCGCAGTGTCTACTAGTGGTGAGTGACAGTGGGAGTCTGGGGCGGTGCTGTGAGTGTGCGGTGCTGTGAGTACACGGTGCGTTATCGCAGTGTCTACTAGTGGTGAGTGACAGTGGGAGTCTGGGGCGGTGCTGTGAGTACACGGTGCTGTGAGTACACGGTGCGTTATCGCAGTGTCTACTAGTGGTGAGTGACAGTGGGAGTCTAGGGCGGTGCTGTGAGTACACGGTGCTGTGAGTGCACGGTGCGTTATCGCAGTGTCTACTAGTGGTGAGTGACAGTGGGAGTCTGGGGCGGTGCTGTGAGTGTGCGGTGCTGTGAGTACACGGTGCTGTGAGTACACGGTGCTGTGAGTACACGGTGCGTTATCGCAGTGTCTACTAGTGGTGAGTGACAGTGGGAGTCTAGGGCGGTGCTGTGAGTGTGCGGTGCTGTGAGTACACGGTGCGTTATCGCAGTGTCTACTAGTGGTGAGTGACAGTGGGAGTCTGGGGCGGTGCTGTGAGTACACGGTGCGTTATCGCAGTGTCTCTGAGTGGTGAGTGATAGTGGGAGTCTAGGGCGGTGCTGTGAGTGTGCGGTGCTGTGAGTACACGGTGCGTTATCGCAGTGTCTACTAGTGGTGAGTGACAGTGGGAGTCTGGGGCGGTGCTGTGAGTACACGGTGCGTTATCGCAGTGTCTACTAGTGGTGAGTGATAGTGGGAGTCTTGGCAGTGCTGTGAGTGTGCGGTGCTGTGAGTACACGGTGCGTTATCGCAGTGTCTACTAGTGGTGAGTGACAGTGGGAGTCTGGGGCGGTGCTGTGAGTGTGCGGTGCTGTGAGTACACGGTGCGTTATCGCAGTGTCTACTAGTGGTGAGTGATAGTGGGAGTCTAGGGCGGTGCTGTGAGTGTGCAGTGCTGTGAGTACATGGTGCGTTATCGCAGTGTCTACTAGTGGTGAGTGACAGTGGGAGTCTAGGGCGGTGCTGTGAGTGTGCAGTGCTGTGAGTACATGGTGCGTTATCGCAGTGTCTACTAGTGGTGAGTGACAGTGGGAGTCTGGGGCGGTGCTGTGAGTACACGGTGCTGTGAGTACACGGTGCTGTGAGTACACGGTGCGTTATCGCAGTGTCTACTAGTGGTGAGTGACAGTGGGAGTCTGGGGCGGTGCTGTCAGTGTGCGGTGCTGTGAGTACACGGTGCGTTATCGCAGTGTCTACTAGTGGTGAGTGACAGTGGGAGTCTAGGGCGGTGCTGTGAGTACATGGTGCGTAATCGCAGTGTCTCCGAGTGGTGAATCATAGTGGGAGTCTGGGGCGGTGCTGTGAGTGTGCGGTGCGCTGCACTGCTGGTGAGATAGGGAAGTGAATGCGGTGTTGGTAACGCGTCGAGTGTGACACAAGCACCGGTATTGATCCGCGACACGGGCCGCTGCCCGCGTCTCCGTGTGTCCCCACGCGTCCTCTGATGTGTCTCCGCGAGACTCGGTGCGTCGCCGTGAGTCTCCGTGTGTCTCCGTGTCCACTTGTGCCTTCCTTTGTGTGCCCTTCCATGTCACGATATGTCATCCTGCGTCTCTCTATGTTTCCTAGATTCTCCCCGTGTCCCTTTGTATGTCTCCGTGTTCCCCTGTGCCTCCCTCTAGCCCCCTGTGTGCCCTAACATCTCTCCATATCTCCCTGTATGCTTGTGGCCCCCTCTGCCTCCGTCTATCCCCGTGTCTCTCTGTGTCCCCTTGTCCCCCTGCTGTCCCCCGCCGTATCTCAACTGTGCGCTTGAGTCTCGTTCTGTCAGTCCTCTCGATATGAAAACGCTCCGCGAGGGAAAACGTCCAAACATCCCAGTGCAGGACCCTCCTTGGGAAGCGTCTTGAGACTCGATGAATCTTTGCTCGATGAACAACTCTCTTGATCAATCTTGCTTTTGAAATGCATTCTTGTGCCTCCGTGTCTCCGTGTGTCTCTGGTTTCAGCAGCACCAGCACTTGCAGAAGCATCAGCAGCAGCAGCAGCATCACCAGCAGCAGCATCAGCAACACCACCATCAGCAGCATCACCAGCAGTAGCATCAGCAACACCAGCAGCATCAACAGCAGCAAAAACAGCATCAGCAGGAGCATCAGCAGTAGCATCAGCAACACCAGCAGCATCAACAGCAGCAAAAACAGCAGCACCAGCAGCAGCATCACCAGCAGTAGCATCAGCAACACCAGCAGCATCAACAGCAGCAAAAACATCACCAGAAGTAGCATCAGCAACACCAGCAGCATCAACAGCAGCATCAACAGCAGCATCAGCAACACCAGCAGCATCACCAGCAGTAGCATCAGCAGCATCACCAGCAGTAGCATCAGCAACACCAGCAGCATCAACAGCAGCAAAAACAGCATCAGCAGCAGCAGGAGCATCAGCAGCATCACCAGCAGTAGCATCAGCAACACCAGCAGCATCAACAGCAGCAAAGACAGCATCAGCAGCAGCAGGAGCAACACCAGCATCAGCAGCAGTAGCATCAGCATCACCAGCAGCATCAACAGCAGCATAAACAGCATCACCAGCAGCAGGAGCATCAGCAGCATCACCAGCAGTAGCATCAGCAACACCAGCAGCATCAACAGCAGCATCAACAGCAGCAAAGACAGCATCAGCAGCAGCAGGAGCAACACCAGCATCAGCAGCAGTAGCATCAGCATCACCAGCAGCATCAACAGCAGCATAAACAGCATCACCAGCAGCAGGAGCATCAGCAAGGTCAGCAGCAGAAGAAGCAAAAGCAGCACTCGCAGCAGAAGCAGCAGGAACATCAGCACCATCGTCATCATCGTCGTCGTCATCATCAGCCGGGATGAGGAGGATGAGAGGGAGGGGCCGCACGCCCAGCCCGGGCCCCGCCGGGTCCCCAGCGCGCAGCCCGTCCCCGGGGACGGGGCCCCAACGGGGGTCCTCACGCACCGGTGGGGGGGGGCCTGGCGGAGGTTCCGTGACCCCCGTGACCCCCGTGGCACAGGCAGCAGCAGCAGCGGGGCAACCTCACAGCTCGCGCGACAACAGCGATGGTGAGGGGGGGGGGGGGCCGGGGTCACGGGGGGACCGGGGGGGGGGGGAGGGGCCACCCTTTCCCACGTGGGTTTTGGGCCGCGCCGCTGAGAGAGCGTCAGAGGTCGCAACCGGGTACCCGATACCCGTACCCTACCCGATACCCGGCTATCCGTACCCGGCTGGGTACGGGTACGGGTACCGTTTGCAACCCTGGTGCGGCCGGGTACGGGGACGGGTAGGCCGTGAGTCACTGGTGAGTCACCGTTTGTCACTCATTTCGGGTAGGGTACGGGTAGGGAACGGGTACCCGTACCCGTATCCGGCCAGGTACCGGTACGGGTACCCATTTGTGACCCTGGTGCAGCCGGGTACGGGTAAGGAATCAAAACCCGTTTGCGACCTCTGCTGTGCTTTGCTGTTACGCGTGACGATAACTATAAATCATAGTTTTAGTTTCACATCGCGTCGGTCATGCTCATTGCATCTCACAACGCTGCACAATAATGACATGCATAATCACGTTAAGGGATGAATGCTATATTCGGAGGGTTTCATATTAAGTAAATTAAACCCTGAGAAATTTTATTTTATATATTAAAAACAAAAAATGATCGCGTTTCACTCGGCATGCTGGGAGCTTCTACACGAATTGGGTTTTCAGTTCCCAGCTGCATGTGTGCGTGCACCTGTGTATGTGTGTGCCTGTGTGTGGGGAGCGATGCACCTAGCCTGGCACAAGCGCCATGGTGACCAATAGCGGTGGTGGTTGTTGTTGTTGGAGAGCGGTGGCGCAGTGGTTCGTGCAATCCCGGCGGGCCGATTTCGATTCCCGCTCGTGGCCAATTTCAGTGACGGCGAATATTTGAACCGGTCCTGGGTCTCTCTTATGTCGACTCAGCCTTAAATTAGTACCTGGTGCACTATCTAAACATCTCCACTAGGGAGACAAAAGCGGCCGGGCATGGTGCTGCTGGCCACCCACCCCCCCGTGTGCCGTGCCGGCCTTCGTAGGTGCTGCTACTCGCTAACGCCACATGCCTCAAATAGTCCGTGAAGGCTACACGGGGGATCTTGGTGTTGCCCGTGTGCGCGCACGGTGCCAGCAGAGGAGCGGGAGGAGGGAGAGGAGCTGTCGGCACGTGGCGACGCCGCCCCCGTGGAGGAGGGCGTGCGCTACATCACCGAGGCGTTGCTGCGCCGCTTGAGCCGGCAGGAGGACCTGGCGCTCGTGCGCTCCCTCAACCTGGCGCTGGCGCGCGACGGCGGCAAGAAGTTCCGCGTACGGCACAGACGCGGGGCAGACACGGCACAGACGCGGGGCAGACACGGCGCGCAGACACTGCACAGACGCGGGGCAGACACGGCGCGCAGACACTGCACAGACGCGGGGCAGACACGGCGCGCAGACACCGCACAGACACGGAATAGACACGGCACAGACGCGGAATAGACACGGCGCGCAGACACGGCACAGACACCGCACAGACACGGCACAGACACGGCACAGACACGGCACAGACGCGGAATAGAAACGGCACAGACGCGGAATAGACACGGCACAGACACGGAATAGACACGGCGCGCAGACACGGCACAGACACGGCACAGACACGGCACAGACACGGCACAGATGCGGGGCAGACACGGCGCGCAGACACCGCACAGACACGGCACAGACACGGCACAGACACGGGGCAGACATGGCACAGACACAGCGCACAGACACCGCACAGACACGGAATAGACACGGCACAGACACGGAACGTACTTGCCGCAGACAAGGACCAGACATGGCACAGACACGGATCATACTCACTGCAGACACGGCACAGACGCGGAATGGACATGGCACAGACACGGAACGTACTCGGTGCAGACACGGAATAGACACGGCACAGACACGGAATAGACACGGCACAGACAGGGAATAGACACGGCACAGACACGGAACGTATTTGGCACACACACATGGACAGGAGCGGCCCGTCCATATAGGCGAACTAGGCGGTGGCCTAGTTTGCCAAGTTCAGTGGGGCGCCAAATTCTAGGAAAAAAATACAAATACAAAAATATACAAACAATATAACGACAACGTCATTGTTTCAATTCCCGTGCATGTACAGAGGGAATATGAATTATATTTCATCTCTCAACATTTTTGGGAATGCATTGGTTGGACAGACGGACAAACCAAATAATTACGCCTCTGTTTAAAACAATACGCTTGAAACTATATTAAATGGAAAAGAGGGGCAAAATTCTAGATTTGAAGCTTTCGTGACTGCAAGGATTCATACTCTTTGGTCTTGTCGGTAAAGTCACGTAGGTAAAAAATAAAATAAATTAAAAATAATATAAATAATGATAGAAATAAAATATTATTAATATAAATAAAATATTATTTATATTATTTATTATAATTTTTTTCACCAACGAGACTTTACCGAAAAAACCTAAGAGTATGAAAACAACTAAATAAAATCACGACGTTTCGGGCGCAACACAAGCGTCCTTCTTCAGGGCGGGGACAACGTAGCGAAAGCACAACCGCTTAAGTGTGTCTCAGAGATGGCTGTGACGAGGAGTTATATAGTCACGGGGGATGGAGGGAAGGGCAAAATATTTACCAGTTTACCAAGTACCTCAGCCTTGATAATTATTTTTTTACCCTTCTATCTGGAAACAAAACTGACACCTTTTTTACAAGGAGTCATGTTTGCATAGACCACAATACCTAAGGTCGTAATGCAAACAAAAAATATAACTCTGATAATGTATGCACTGTCCTTGAATTTGATTGGTCCACACCCGAGACAGCTTTCCTTAGAGCCTAGTCTCATATGGGTTGGACCAGATGACGCCAAAAGGCGCACAACTCAAAGACAATGCACCATCAGAGTATGAGAGCTCGGGGTGAGCATTTACACCATTGGAACCTCATTTGTCAGTAAAAAATATGGTAATTGGTTTTTTACCCTTCTATCTGGCAACAAAACTGACACCTTTTTTACAAGGAGTCATGTTTGCATAGACCACAATACCTGCAGTCATAATGCAAACAAAAAACACAACTCTGATAATATGTGCACTGTCCTTGAAGTTGATTGGTCCACACCCGAGACAGCTTTCCTTAGAGCCTAGTCTCACATGGGTTGGACCAGATGACGCCAAAAGGCGCACAACTCAAAGACAATGCGCCATCAGAGTATGAGAGCTCGGGTGAAGCATTTACACCATTGGAACCTCATTTCTTTTTTTTGCATTATGACTGCAGGTATTGTGGTCTATGTAAACATGACTCCTTGTAGAAAAAGATGTCAGTTTTGTTGCCAGATAGAAGGGTACAAAACCAATTATCATGTTTTTTACTGGCAAATGAGGTTCCAATGGTGTAAATACCTCCGCCTTGATCTGCCAATTGCATGGTTCGCCTAGAGCGCCAGTTGCTGGCAGCTAGTCTAGGGCCGCCCCTGGACTAGATACGCTCACCGCCCCGTGTGTACTGCACATACAGCCTCACCCCTCTGTCGTGCGTGCTGCACAGTACATAGAGAACCTGGAGCGCTGTGAGCGGCTGGAGGTGCTCACGTTGAGTCACAACGTCATCGAGAAGATGGAGCACATGGAGCGGCTGGGGTCCCTACGCGAGCTCCACCTGTCCCACAACCTCATCAGGTATGGCCTGTCACACACCCTGTCGCAATCTCGATACTTACAGACTCTCTCTCACTCACACACACACACGTCACAACCTCAATACTCACAGACTCTCTCTCACACACACACACACACGTCACAACCTCAATACTCACAGACTCTCTCTCTCTCACTCACACACACACGTCACAACCTCAATACTCACAGACTCTCTCTCTCACACACACACCTCGTCACAACCTCAATACTCACAGACTCTCTCTCTCACTCACACACACACGTCGCAACCTCAATACTCACAGACTCTCTCACACACACACACACCTCGTCACAACCTCAATACTCACAGACTCTCTCACTCACACACACACACGTCACAACCTCAATACTCACAGACTCTCTCACACTCACACACACACACACGTCACAACCTCAATACTCACAGACTCTCTCTCTCACACACACACACCTCGTCGCAACCTCAGTACTTACAGACTCTCTCACACTCACACACACACGTCACAACCTCAATACTTACAGACTCTCTCACACTCACACACACACACACGTCACAACCTCAATACTTACAGACTCTCTCTCTCACACACACACACCTCGTCGCAACCTCAATACTTACAGACTCTCTCACACTCACACACACACACGTCACAACCTCAATACTTACAGACTCTCTCACTCACACACACACACACGTCACAACCTCAATACTTACAGACTCTCTCTCTCACACACACACCTCGTCGCAACCTCAATACTCACAGACTCTCTCACACTCACACACACACACACACACGTCGCAACCTCAATACTTACAGACTCTCTCACACTCACACACACACACACACGTCACAACCTCAATACTTACAGACTCTCTCTCTCACACACACACACCTCGTCGCAACCTCAATACTTACAGACTCTCTCACACTCACACACACACACACGTCACAACCTCAATACTTACAGACTCTCTCTCTCACACACACACACCTCGTCGCAACCTCAATACTTACAGACTCTCTCACACACACACACACACACACACACGTCACAACCTCAATACTCACAGACTCTCTCACACACACACACACACACGTCACAACCTCAATACTCACAGACTCTCTCACTCACACACACACACACACACACGTCACAACCTCAATACTCACAGACTCTCTCACTCACACACACACACACACACGTCACAACCTCAATACTCACAGACTCTCTCACTCACACACACACACACACGTCACAACCTCAATACTCACAGACTCTCTCTCTCACACACACACGCACGTCACAACCTCAATACTCACAGACTCTCTCACACTCACACACACACCTCGTCACAACCTCAATACTCACAGACTCTCTCTCTCACACACACACACGTCACAACCTCAATACTCACAGCCTCTCTCACTCACACACACACACACACGTCACAACCTCAATACTCACAGACTCTCTCACACACACACACACACCTCGTCGCAACCTCAATACTCACAGACTCTCTCACACACACACACACACCTCGTCACAACCTCAATACTCACAGACTCTCTCACACTCACACACACACACACGTCACAACCTCAATACTTACAGACTCTCTCACACTCACACACACACACACACGTCGCAACCTCAATACTTACAGACTCTCTCACACTCACACACACACACCTCGTCGCAACCTCAATACTCACAGACTCTCTCTCACACTCACACACACACACCTCGTCACAACCTCAATACTCACAGACTCTCTCACACTCACACACACACACCTCGTCGCAACCTCAATACTCACAGACTCTCTCACACACACACCTCGTCACAACCTCAATACTCACAGACTCTCTCACTCACACACACACGCACCTCGTCGCAACCTCAATACTCACAGACTCTCTCTCTCACACACACACACCTCGTCGCAACCTCAATACTCACAGACTCTCTCACTCACACACACACACCTCGTCGCAACCTCAATACTCACAGACTCTCTCTCTCACACACACACACACACCTCGTCACAACCTCAATACTCACAGACTCTCTCACTCACACACACACACACCTCGTCACAACCTCAATACTCACAGACTTTCTCACACTCACACACACACACCTCGTCGCAACCTCAATACTCACAGACTCTCTCACACTCACACACACACACCTCGTCACAACCTCAATACTCACAGACTCTCTCTCACACTCACACACACACACCTCGTCGCAACCTCAATACTCACAGACTCTCTCTCACACACACACACCTCGTCGCAACCTCAATACTCACAGACTCTCTCACACACACACACACACACGTCGTCGCAAACTCAATACTCACAAACTCTCTCTCGCTCACACACACACACACCTCGTCGCAACCTCAATACTCACAGACTCTCTCTCACACACACACCCACCTCGTCGCAACCTCAATACTCACAGACTCTCTCACTCACACACACACACACACGTCGTCGCAAACTCAATACTCACAGACTCTCTCGCTCACACACACACACACGTCGTCGCAAACTCAATACTCACAGACTCTCTCACTCACACACACACACACCTCGTCACAACCTCAATACTCACAGACTCTCTCTCTCACACACACACACACACACCTCGTCACAACCTCAATACTCACAGACTCTCTCGCTCACACACACACACACACGTCGTCGCAAACTCAATACTCACAGACTCTCTCGCTCACACACACACACACACGTCGTCGCAAACTCAATACTCACAGACTATCTCACACTCACGTCGTCACAAACTCACCAAAACCGAGTCACAACCTCGTCAGGTACGGCCGTCTCACACTCACGCACCTGCACCCTACACCCAGGACCCTGCACTCAGCACCCTGCATCCTGCACCTGCACTCTGTAGCCCTCTCTGTCAAAGTGTCCCACACAGTCGTGGAATACCCTCACTGACACCTGGGTAGGGAGCACAGTGACAGTGACAGTCACTGCTACTGCGACTGCCACTGCCACTGTCACAGTGACTGTCACAGTCACTGCCACTGCGACTGACACTGTAACTGACACAGTGACTGACACAGTGACAGTGACAGTCACTGCGACTGCCACTGTAACTGACACAGTGAGTGACACAGTGACTGACACTGACACTGCCACTGCGACTGCCACTGTAACTGACACAGTGAGTGACACAGTGACTGACACTGACACTGCCACTGCGACTGCCACTGTAACTGACACAGTGAGTGACACAGTGACTGACACTGACACTGTCACTGCCACTGCGACTGCCACTGTAACTGACACAGTGAGTGACACAGTGACTGACACTGACACTGCCACTGCGACTGCCACTGTAACTGACGCAGTGAGTGACACAATGACTGACACTGTCACTGCCACTGTGACTGCCACTGTAACTGACACAGTGACTGACACAATGACTGACACTGTGACCGCTGGCAAGGAAGAGGAGGGGAGGAGTGGCGTGTATGGAGGACACCCCACGAGAGTGTTGTTGTTGTTGTTGCTGCTGCTGCTGCTGTTGTTGTTGTGTCTGCACCACCTCTGCTAGGAAGATCGAGGGCCTGGAGCACATGGCGCAGTTGCAGACGCTGGCGCTCGCCTCCAACCAATTGGAAGCCATCCCCGCGTGGCTGCCACGCCGCCTGCGCTGCCTCCGCTCGCTGGACCTCCGGGACAACAACATCACCTCGGTGAGGGGCGTGGGGAGAGTGGTGAGGAGGGGCGCTAGGGCATCGCCATGGTGATGATCGTGGTGAGGAGGTGGGGGGTAGGATATCACCATGGTGATGATCGTGGTGAGGAGGAGGGGCGCTAGGACATCGCCATGGTGATGATCGTGGTGAGGAGGAGGGGCGCTAGGATATCACCATGGTGATGATCGTGGTGAGGAGGAGGGGCGCTAGGGCATCGCCATGGTGATGATCGTGGTGAGGAGGAGGAGCGCTAGGATATCGCCATGGTGATGATCGTGGTGAGGAGGAGGGGCGCTAGGATATCGCCATGGTGATGATCGTGGTGAGGAGGAGGGGCACTAGGACATCACCATGGTGATGATCGTGGTGAGGAGGAGGGGCGCTAGGATATCGCCATGGTGATGATCGTGGTGAGGAGGAGGGGCGCTAGGATATCGCCATGGTGACGATCGTGGTGAGGAGGTGGGGCGCTAGGATATCGCCATGGTGACGATCGTGGTGAGGAGGAGGGGCGCTAGGATATCGCCATGGTGATGATCGTGGTGAGGAGAGGCGTGAGGGCATCGCCATGGTGATGATCGTGGTGAGGAGGAGGGGCGCTAGGAGATCGCCATGGTGAGGAGCGTGGTGAGGAGGAGGAGCGCTAGGAGATCGCCATGGTGAGGAGCGTGGGGAGAGTGGTGAGGAGAGGCGCTAGGATATCGCCATGGTGATGATCGTGGTGAGGAGGAGGGGCGCTAGGGCATCGCCATGGTGATGATCGTGGTGAGGAGAGGCGCGAGGGCATCGCCATGGTGACGATCGTGGTGAGGAGAGGCGCGAGGGCATCGCCATGGTGAGGAGCGTGGGGAGAGTGGTGAGGAGAGGCGCTAGGGCATCGCCATGGTGATGATCGTGGTGAGGAGAGGCGCGAGGGCATCGCCATGGTGGCGATCGTGGTGAGGAGGAGGGGCGCTAGGACATCGCCACGGTGAAGAGGGTGGGGAGTGGGGAGGGGTGTGTAAACATCACCACCGTGGAGATAAAGGTGGCCGGACGTGGTGCTGGCCACCCACCCACCACCCTTTCGTGTGCCGTGCCGACCTTCATAGGTGCTCGCAAACAGCACTTGCCCCTACAGTCTGTTAAGGCTATACGGGGGATCTTTATCTTTGTGTGTGTGTGCACGCGGCGTACAGCTGCAGGACGTGAGCCGGCTGAAGGCGCTGCAGGGGTTGGTGTCGCTGGCGCTGGCGGGGAACCCCGTGGCGGCGCTACCGCACTACCGGGCGCACACGGTGTTCCACCTGCGCTCGCTCGAGCGGCTCGACGCGCAGCCCGTGAGTGACGCGGAGCGCCAACTCGCCCACCAGCGCTTCCACCTGGGTGAGCGTCGCCACCGCCCACCGCTCACCGCCTGCCACCCACAACTCACTACCCACAGCTCACTACCGTCACGATCACTGCCCACTGATAGTGGGGTAGAAGGGAAATAATAAAATATTAAAAATAAAACATAATAAAATACAATTCTCAGTGAGAATTATTTTATTATGTTTTATTTTTACTCTCAGTTAGAATTATTTTATTATTTTTTATTTCTTTTATTTTATTATTTCCCTTCTACGTGACTTTACCGAAAGAACCAAGAAGATGAATCCCTGCAGTCACGAAAGCTTTAAATCGAGACTTAAGTGCCGTGGTGGCGAATGGCGATCATTGTTGTTGTCGTCGTTGTTGTTGTTGTGCGCGCGCGTGCGAGTAGAGGAGGTGGAGCGGCTGGAAGCGGCTCTGGCCGAGCGGCAGGCCCAGCTGGAGTCGTCCTCACGGCTTCAGGAGGAGTCGGCCGCGGCCCTGCTGCAGCGCGAGCAGCAGCTGCTGGCGCTGCAGCAGGAGCGGAGCGAGCGCGACGGCTCCGTGCACGAGCTGCAGCGCGAGCTGCACACCAAGAACCAGCTGGTGCGGCGCCACGCGTACGCCAGCGGGCGCGTGCTGTGTGTGCGTGTGTGTGTGGGGGGCGTTCGTAGGTGCTACTCGCTAACAGCACTTGCCCCAACTGTCTGTTAATGCTATATAGGGGACCTTTGTATTTGTATGCGGCATTCATAGGTGCTACTCACAGCACTTGCCTCAACTGTCTGTTAATGTTCTTAGGTTTTTTTCGGTAAAGTCACGTAGGTAAAAAAAATTTAAATTAAAAAAAGTAAAATAAAATAAAAATACTTTTATTAATTTTAATTTTTTTACCTACGTGACTTTATCGAAAAAACCTAAGGAATATGAATCATTGCAGTCACGAAAGCTTCTAATCTAGAATGTCTGTTAATGCTATATAGGGGACCTTTGTATTTGCATGCGGCCTTCATAGGTGCTACTCGCTAACAGCACTTGCCCAACAGTATTTTAATGCTATATAGGGGACCTTTGTATTTGTATGCGGCCTTCATAGGTGCTACTCGCTAACAGCACTTGCCCCAACAGTCTGTTGATGCTATATAGGGGACCTTTGTATTTGTATGCGGCATTCGTAGGTGCTACTCACAGCACTTGCCCCAACAGTCTGTTAATGCGATATGGGGGAGCTTTGTATTTGTATGCGACCTGCATAGGTGCTACTCGCTAACAGCACTTGCCCCAACAGTCTGTCAAGGCTAAATGGGGGATCTTTGTAAATGTAAGTGTGTGTGTCAATGTGTGTGTGTGGAGCGGTAGTGTATCAGTTAGCGTGCTGCGCTATGAACCCGGTGACCCAAATTCAATTCTTTACACTGGTCAACACACTTTTTCTGGCATAAGGTATTCCAACGGGTGTAAGGTAATGTTGGGGTGCTGATTCCAAATCTGGCATCAGTTTTTTTTTCTATCAAATATTGCATTTTCAATAAAAACTGCAGAAGAAAAATATTAAATAAATGTGGATATCTACATAAAATTATATTATAAACACACTATCCTAAAAATACAGCACCATATTTTAACACTAAAGCAGTCACTGACTCGCAACGACTTGCAATCATAAGTGACAGAGTTAATTTCGGGTAAAATCAATGAAAATGGGGTATGCCGATAGCATAAAATGAGATGTGATAGAGCAAATCTGAGATCAGATTTGGAATCAGCACCCTGAAATTAGTCTAGAACAGCTGCAAATGTCCAGGCCAGAAAACAATGTTTTTTTTTGTTGACCAGTGTTATCTGAACCTGCCGGGGGCCTCCCCTAGATCGACTCAGACTCAAATGAGTACCTGGTGCGGTGTGTAAACATCTCCGCTGGGGAGACAAAGGCGGCCGGACGTGGTGTTGCTGGCCTTTCGTAGGCGCCGCTCGCTAACAGCACTTGCCCCAGCAGCCTGTTAAAGCCTACACGGGGGGTCTTTGTCTTTGCTTTACTTCATGGGACTCTCTCCGCTCTCTCCGCGTCTCTCCTCTGCGCTTCCCGTGCCGTCGTGCGTCTGCTCTGGGTCCTCTGCTCCAAGCGCCAGCGCTAGCGGCACCGGTCCAGGTGCGTGGACGCGGCGCCAGCCCCACCGCTGAGCAAAACCCTCCCCGGGGGGGTGGCGCTCACAGCCAGCGCGGGGGTGCCGGGGTCAGGGCTCGCACACCCTAACCCCGTAACTCTTCACCCTCGAACCCCCAGGCATAGCGAACCCTCGAAACTCAGCCTTACCTGGTGCTCACACGACCCTCAGCCTGACCTCATCATCAAACCTTGCCTCGACCCCATCCTGACCTCACCCTGAGCTCATCGTAACTTCACCGTAACCTCATCCTCGCATCGTTCTTACCTTACCCTAACCCTCATCTCATCCGAACATTCTCCGAACCTCAGCCTAATGTTAACATCACCGTAAACTCGTTTTAAATCCTTTATATTAAGTTCACTTGCTTGCTTACGACCGTGCAAATCTTTCGGTCGTTTTTTAACCCACTTACCGTGATCCAATCGAGCTGACATTTTGCACACAGACTCGTTGTGCGTGACAATGTATTTTCGTGAACATTTTTTTCCAAAATTTTACACTTTTTAGGAATTATATTTATTTATTTAATTACCAATTGCTTAATGGTGGCAGACAATCATCTGACCCATAGGTGGCAGCTATCTCAAGCCAGAGGACGAGAGGACTCTAGCCGCCACGCATATAAAGGATTTATAGTGAAAAACGTTTTTTTACGGGTTAATTTTTTAAACCCCTAACCTCACCCGAACTCCTCGCCTCACCCAAACCCTAAGCCGAGCCAACCTTCTAACCTCAACCTTATGGTCACACTGACCCTACCCTGACCTCACCATCAAAGTCTTGATCCTAATCTCACCCTGACCTCATCGTAACGTTACCACATACTTCATCTAACCTCACCCCAACCTTACCCTAATCTCATTGAAAAGTCTTCTCTTAGCCTAATATTAACATACCGTAACCTCGTCCTAACCCCTAGCTTCACCCTCATATCACGCTAACACCTCACTCTGACCTCACTGGAATCATTATTGTAACCTAATCCTGCTGTTAACTTTGGCCTAACCCTAATTGTCACCTAATCCTACCTGTAACCCTACCCTACCTCTAACCCTGATCTACCCTTAACCGTACCCTACCTGTAACCCTACCCTACCTGTAACCCTGACCTACCTTCACCCTACCCTACCTATAACCCAACTCTACCTGTAACTCTACCCTACCTGTAACCCAACCCTACCTGTAAACCCTACCCTACCTGTAACCCAACTCTACCTGTAACTCTACCCTACCTGTAACCCAACTCTACCTGTAACTCTACCCTACCTGTAACCCAACCCTACCTGTAACCCTGACCTACCTGTAACCCTACCCTACCTTCACCCTACCCTACCTGTAACCCTGACCTACCTGTAACCCTGACCTACCTGTAACCCTGACCTACCTTCACCCTACCCTACCTGTAACCCTGACCTACCTGTAACCCTACCCTACCTGTAACCCTACCCTACCTGTAACCCTACCCTACCTGTAACCCTACCCTACCTGTAACCCTACCCTACCTGTCTCCCTGTAACCAACCTACCTGTAACCCTACCCTACCTGTAACCCTACCCTACCTGTAACCCTACCCTACATGTAACCCTACCCTACCTGTAACTCTACCCTACCTGTAACCCTACCCTACCTTTAACCCTGACCTACCTGTAACCCTACCCTACCTGTAACCCAACCCTACCTGTAACCCTACCCTACCTGTAACCCTGACCTACCTTCACCCTACCTACCTGTACCCTACCCTACCTGTAACCCTACCCTACCTGTAACCCTACCCTACCTGTAACCCTACCCTACCTGTAACCCTACCTACCTGTAACCCTGACCTACCTGTAACCCTACCCTACCTGTAACCCTACCCTACCTGTAACCCTACCCTACCTGTAACCCTGACCTACCTGTAACCCTACCCTACCTGTAACTCTACCCTACCTGTAACCCTGACCTACCTGTAACCCTACCCTACCTGTAACCCCTACCCTACCTGTAACCCTGACCTACCTGTAACCCTACCCTACCTGTAACCCTACCCTACCTGTAACCCTGACCTACCTTCACCCTACCCTACCTGTAACCCTACCCTACCTGTAACCCTACCCTACCTGTAACCCTGACCTACCTTCACCCTACCCTACCTGTAACCCTACCCTACCTTTAACCCTGACCTACCTGTAACCCTACCCTACCTGTAACCCTACCCTACCTGTAACCCTGACCTACCTGTAACCCTACCCTACCTGTAACCCTACCCTACCTTCACCCTACCCAGCTGTAACCCTACCCTACCTGTAACCCTGACCTACCTGTAACCCTACCCTACCTGTAACCCTACCCTACCTGTAACCCTACCCTACCTGTAACCCTACCCTACCTGTAACCCTACCCTACCTGTAACCCTACCCTACCTGTAACCCTACCCTACCTGTAACCCTACCCTACCTGTAACCCTACCCTACCTGTAACCCTACCCTACCTGTAACCCTACCCTACCTGTAACCCTACCCTACCTGTAACCCTGACCTACCTGTAACCCTACCCTACCTGTAACCCTACCCTACCTGTAACCCTGACCTACCTGTAACCCTACCCTACCTGTAACCCTACCCTACCTGTAACCCTGACCTACCTGTAACCCTACCCTACCTGTAACCCTACCCTACCTGTAACCCTACCCTACCTGTAACCCTGACCTACCTTCACCCTACCCTACCTGTAACCCTACCCTACCTGTAACCCTACCCTACCTGTAACCCTGACCTACCTTCACCCTACCCTACCTGTAACCCTACCCTACCTTTAACCCTGACCTACCTGTAACCCTACCCTACCTGTAACCCTACCCTACCTGTAACCCTGACCTACCTGTAACCCTACCCTACCTGTAACCCTACCCTACCTTCACCCTACCCCAGCTGTAACCCTACCCTACCTGTAACCCTGACCTACCTGTAACCCTACCCTACCTGTAACCCTACCTGTAACCCTACCCTACCTGTAACCCTACCCTACCTGTAACCCTACCCTACCTGTAACCCTACCCTACCTGTAACCCTACCCTACCTGTAACCCTACCCTACCTGTAACCCTACCCTACCTGTAACCCTGACTTACCTTCACCCTACCCCAGCTGTAACCCTAACCCTGGCAGGGAGCAGGTGAGCGTCACTCCGCACGAGGTGCTCTGTGCCATCTGGCTGCAGTTGTGATTCCTTCGTTGGCGTTTGGGTCGTTCTGTTCTTACTTCCTTCATTCAGTGCCCATTCCCTCTCCTCGTCGGTTGACTCATGCAGATGCCCTGGCCTCCACCGTAGACTTAGCCTGACAATGTGACCTTTAACCCAGAACCTTTGACCTCAACCCCCAACCCCAAACACCGTAACCCTCCACTCCTAGCTCATTTCAGCTTTCCATTGACCCCGTAACCCCGAACTCTTCGAAACCCCTCACCTCGACCCCTGACTCTTTACATTGACCCCGTAACCCCGAACTCTTCGAAACCCCTCACCTCGACCCCTGACTCCAAACTCCTTACCCCTTATACAACTCTTAGTTCTTTCGGTAAAGTCACGTAGGTAAAAAATGAAATTAAAATTAATAAAAAATAAAACACTAAAATCACGACGTTTCGGAGGCAACACAAGTCTCCGTCATCAGGTGGGACCGTCACAGCCAGATTTGTATTTAAGAACTTGCATCTTGAATCCCTGCCTCACTTGATGCAGCAAATCTGGCTGTGACGGTCCCACCTGATGACGGAGACTTGTGTTGCCTCCGAAACGTCGTGATTTTAGTGTTTTATTTTTATTAATTTTAATTTCATTTTTTTTACCTACGTGACTTTACCGAAAGAACTAAGAGTATGAATCCTTGCAGTCACGAAAGCTTCAAATCTAGAATCCTTACCCCTTCCCATTAACCCCTAACCTCTAACCCTCTCACATGCCTGGCTCTTAACGCCCAACATCTGACCGCCTAGCCTCTAACCTGTCAATCGTGACCCCTTCCCATTATCCCTTGCCCGTTACCCGTGCCCGGCTGTGACCCCATGACCTGTGACCCGTGCGTGTCTAACCCGTGACCTGTGACCCGTGACCCGCGTGCGGCTGCAGCTGAAGCAGAAGATGTTGGAGCTGACGCACGCGTGCCAGAAGCAGTACGAGCTGGAGCAGGAGCTCGCCTTCTACAAGATAGATGCCAAGTTCGACTCCCTGGGACACGCGCCGCCCCACGTAACACCCCCACGCACACTCGCTCACTCGCTCACTCGCTCACTCGCAATCGCTCACTCTCACTCGCTCACTCTCACTCGCTCATTCGCTCTCACTCGCTCACTCGCTCACTCTCAATCGCTCACTCTCACTCGCTCGCTCTCACTCGCTCGCTCGCTCTCACTCGCTCACTCGCTCACTCGCTCACTCTCAATCGCTCACTCTCACTCGCTTACTCTCAATCGCTCACTCTCACTCGCTCTCACTCACTCACTCGCTCGCTCGCTCACTCTCACTTGCTTACTCTCACTCGCTCACTCACACTCACTCGCTCACTCTCACTCACTCGCTCACTCTCGCTCACTCTCACTCGCTTACTCTCAAGCGCTTACTCTCAATCACTCACACTCACTCACACAGCCTTGGACACATGCCACTCCATGTCGTCCCCACTCGTGAGCACGCATGTATTCTAGTGCGCAAAACTTGCATGCGCACGTATGCACGTGTGCACACGTTAATCTGCATGAACACGTGCATGTTCACGTGCATGTGCGTGTGTGTGCGTGTGACCGGTCGTGCGTGCGTGTGCGTGCGTGATGGCGTGTGCGTGCGCTCTTGCCCGCAGGCCGGCGGGGACGACGACGACGACGACGAGTCGCCGCAGCAGCTGGCGCCCGGCGAGAGCCCGTACATCGGCAAGGCGCGCTACAAGCGGAACGAGTTCGCGGGAGAGAGCCGCGTGCGGCTGTCCCCTGCGCGCCACGCGGCACTCGGCTCCGTGCAGAGCGACGGCGCCGCCACCCGCGTCCCCAGCGCCAGGCACCGGCGGGGACATCACGGACGCCGTCGATCAGCAGCTCGCGCTCAAGCGGCTCGCGCTGGCCGAAGGTACGGCGGCGGTCACGGGGGAGCAGAGGTCGCAAACGTGTTTTGATTCCTTACCCGTCTACCCGTACCCGGCCGCACCAGGGTCGCAAACGGGTACCCGTACCCGTACCCGGCCGTACCCGTACCCTACCCGTACCCGGCCGGGTAGGGTACGGGTATCGGGTACCCGATTGCGACTTCTGGGATGAAGCCATGTTGCAGGCGCGGGTGGGTTGATTCTAGGAACTTGAATTGTGAGAAGAGACAAGACGTTGGGAAATGAGTGACAGTTACTCACCAGTGACTCACGGTCTACCCATACCCGGCCGCACCAGGGTCGCAAACGGGTACCCGAACCCGTACCCGGCTGGGTACGGGTAGCCGGGTATCGGGTAGGGTACGGGTATTGGGTACCCGGTTGCGACCTCTGCGGGGGAGACAGAGCGCAGCGGGGGGGGGGGCCCAGGAGAGGGGGGGGGGCAGGAGCGTTGTGTAGTAACAATCGCCGCTGGGGAAACGAAGGCGCCGGTCGTGGTGCTGGCCACCCACCCCCTTGCGTGCCACGCCGGTCTTCATAGGTGCTACTCGTTACTAACAGCACTTGTCCCTGCATTCCGATAAGGCTACACGGGAGGCCTTTGTCTTTGTGCCGTGTGCAGCCGAGCGCCGTCTGGCCGAGCTGCTGCAGGAGGTGGAGGCTGCCGAGCGCAGGAACCTGGCCGCTGCACAGGAGCTGCAGCGGCTGGAGGACGCGGCCGCCCAGGGCAAGGTGAGAGGCACAGCCCAGAGCCAGAGCCTAGCCCGGACCCTGACTCTAGCCCAGAGCCTACCCCTGACTCTAACCCAGAGCCAGAGCCTACCCCTAACCCTGACTCTAGCCCCTAACCCAGAGCCTACCCCAGACTCTAACCCAGAGCCAGAGCCTAGCCCGGACTCTAGCCCAGAGCCAGAGCCTACCCCAGACTCTAACCCAGAGCCAGAGCCTAGCCCGGACTCTAGCCCAGAGCCAGAGCCTACCCCAGACTCTAACCCAGAGCCAGAGCCTAGCCCGGACTCTAGCCCAGAGCCAGAGCCTACCCCAGACTCTAACCCAGAGCCAGAGCCTAGCCCGGACTCTAGCCCAGAGCCAGAGCCTACCCCGGACTCTAGCCAAGAGCCAGAGCCTACCCCGGACTCTAGCCCAGAGCCTACCCCTTACCCTGACTCTAACCTTGTGTCTCTGTGTATCGCTCTGAGTCTCTGAGAATGGGCAATAGGGGAGAGGTGAGACTTTAAGAGAGGAATGGAAGGGGGTTAAGGAGTGGGACTGCTTCATGTACGGGGGCAGTGTTGAGTCTATGGGCAGTGTTGAGTCTATGGGTAGTGTTGAGTCTATGGGCAGTGTTGAGTCTATGGGCAGTGTTGAGTCTATGGGTAGTGTTGAGTCTATGGGCAGTGTTGAGTCTATGGGCAGTGTTGAGTCTATGGGTAGTGTTGAGTCTATGGGTAGTGTTGAGTCTATGGGCAGTGTTGAGTCTATGGGCAGTGTTGAGTCTATGGGCAGTGTTGAGTCTATGGGCAGTGTTGAGTCTATGGGCAGTGTTGAGTCTATGGGTAGTGTTGAGTCTATGGGCAGTGTTGAGTCTATGGGCAGTGTTGAGTCTATGGGTAGTGTTGAGTCTATGGGCAGTGTTGAGTCTATGGGCAGTGTTGAGTCTATGGGAGTGTTGAGTCTATGGGCAGTGTTGAGTCTATGGGCAGTGTTGAGTCTATGGGTAGTGTTGAGTATATGGGCAGTGTTGAGTCCATGGGTGGTGTTGAGTCTATGGGCAGTGTTGAGTCTATGGCCAGTGTTGAGTCTCTGGGCAGTGTTGAGTCTATGGGCAGTGTTGAGTCTATGGGTAGTGTTGAGTCTATGGGCTGTGTTGAGTCTATGGTGCAGTGTTGAGTCTTTGGTGCAGTGTTGAGTCTATCGACAGTGCTCAATGTAGAGGGGGAGTTGATTGCAGTGGAGGGGTGCAAGTTGGGAGAAGCACCACAAAAGGGATTGGGCACAGGCAGAAGCAGGGACAGAGAGACAGAATGTTGCGAACGCCGACGGTCCATTGTGTAGCACTCGCCGGTTGCGTACGCACGCTCACTGTTGCGCGCACGTGCGGCGCGTTGCTGCGGCGGTGGTGAAGGCGCTGGAACAGCACCGCGAGTCCCTGCGCCGTGCGCTGGCGCGCAAGCTGGAGCTGCTGGGGCGGCTGCGCGTGGAGGCCGAGGAGCTGGAGCGACGCCTGGAGGCGCAGCGCACGGAGCTGGGGCGGCGGGGAGCGCAAGCGGCGCAGCTCCGGAGGGAGATCGCGGAGGAGCGCGGGGAGGACGGGCGCCGGCACGTGAGTGGCACGCGCGATGACGCTGGATGCAATTACCAGCGAAACGTCGCACTACTCAAATTGTAAATGTTGTGGTTTCACGCGTCAACTGCTGGATGCAATTACCAGCGAAACGTCGCACTACTCAAATTGTAAATGTTGTGGTTTCACGCGTCAACTGCTGGATGCAATTACCAGCGAAACGTCGCACTACTCAAACTGTAAATGTTGTGGTTTCACGCGTCAACTGCTGGATGCAATTACCAGCGAAACGTCGTGCTACTCAAATTGTAAATGTAGTGGTTTCACGCTTCAACACACCGCTGGGGCTAAAGCAGCGAACTATTTTGTCTTTTGTCAACGTGACACTTTTTTACCGATTGGCCGTGTCGGGTGGTGGAGGGTTACGACACATTTATAAATAACGCGATCTAAACCCAAAAACGTTGATTATGAATAATATTGGTCGCGAAAGTCTCACACATGTTAAACTGACGCAGGGGGAGGATTGGCTCATAGAGTGGGCAGTGTTGAGTCTATGGGCGTGCCATGTACATGCACATGGCACGCACATGGGACATGCACACGCAGAGACGTGCGGGGAGGACGGGCATGGGCACGTGAGTGGCACGCATGTGGCACGCACACGCAGAGACGCAGGGGGAGGATTGGCACATAGAGTGGCATGCACATGGCACGCACATGGCACACGCACACGCACACACGTGCTCGGAGGACGGGTGCGTGCACATGAGTGGCACGCACATGGCACACACACGTAGAGACGCGCGGCGCTAAGGGGCACTCGTCTTCTAGTGGCACACAGTGGCACACGGGGCGTGCGCGTGTGTACGGCCCAGTGCTCGTGCTGTGTGTTGCGAGTTCTGCCCGGGTCACCGTTGTTGTTGTTGTTCTGGGTTGACACTCGTGACGCCACGTTGGGCTCAATGAGCATCTCAGTAGCGGTGACTGAGCCTGGCTCAACTGCCGGTAATGAATCAGACGATTCCAATACAACGTGGATCTGTAAAGCGGCTTGTGCATGTGACCGTGTCTCATGTGACGCCGCACAGGAACGAGGCGCAGTCGTAGGGCTCTGTGTGAGTCTGTGGGTCTTTATGTGAGTCAAAGGGTCTCTGTATGAGTCTATGGGAGTGAGAGAGAAAGAGCCGGTCAGTAATATATCTCTCTCTCGGTGAGTCGGTGTCTACGGGAGAGGGAAAAAGAGGCAGTCATTTGGGGTTCTGTGTGGGGAAAAGAGGCTTTGTGTGAGTTTACGTGTAAGGTATGTGTGATGCGTATGGTATTGTGTGTTGTTATTGTGAGTGTGGTGCGGGTGTGTAATGTGTATGTGATATCTGTGGTGGATGATGTGTGTGATTCTATTGTATGTGGCGTGTTTAGTGTTTGTGTTATTGTGATGTCTATGATCTTTGTGGTGTGATGTGTGTGTAATGTGTGGTGTGTATAAAGTGTGTGATGTGTGTTATCGTGTTTGTAGTGTGTGTGTGTGGTGTGTATAAAGTGTGTGATGTGTGTGGTGTGTGTTTTCGTGTTTGTAGTGTGTGTGTGGTGTGTATAAAGTGTGTGATGTGTGTGGTGTGTTATCGTGTGGTGTTATCTGTATCGTGTTCGTAGTGTGTGTGTGTGGTGTGTATAAAGTGTGTGATGTGTGGTGTGTATAAAGTGTGTGATGTGTGTGGTGTGTGTTATCGTGTTTGTAGTGTGTGTGTGTGGTGTGTATAAAGTGCGTGATATGTGTGGTGTGTGTGGGATCTGTGTGCTGTGAGTGGCTGAGGTTGTGCGCGGCTGCACTGATGGGGGAGGAAGTGTCTGATCTCTATTATGCTGTGTGTAGTTTTGTGGTGAGTCTGTAGTGTGGTGTATGCGTAGTATGGTGTGTTGTGCAGTGTGGTGCAACTTTAGTGCCAAACACTGTTTGGCATCTTTTTCTCACTTATGCTCACACATGCCTTTGGGACAGCAGAAGAGGGAGTCTTTCTCCATACGAGATCTGATGGCAAACTCTTCAACCTTGCCCATCTCAGATCCAAAACCAAAGCTCGCAAAGTCCTCACCAGAGAACTCCTATTCGCTGATGACGCCGCGCTGACAGCTCACACAGAACAAGGTCTTGCGGACACTCATCGACCACCTTGCCACTGCGTGCAACAACTTTGGCCTGACAATCAGTCTGAAAAAGGCCAATGTCATGAGCCAGGATGTCAGAGACCTCCCTTCCATCAACATTGGTAGCTACACACTGGAATCCGTTCAGGACTTCACCTACTTGGGTTCCACCATCACCTGCAATTTGTCTCTTATCAAGGAGATTGACAAGCGCATTGGGAAGGCGTTTACAGCGACCAAAAGAGTGTACAGATGATGTACCGTGCCTGTGTCCTTAGCACGCTCCTCTATGGGTCTGAGTCCTGGACAACGTACGCCCATCAAGGACATCGACTAAACACATTCCACCTCCGCTGTCTCAGGCGCAGCCTCGGTCTCAGATGGCGAGATCGCATTCCCAACACCTCAAGTCCTCAACATGGCCAACATTACCAACATGTACTCTCTACTCAGCAGAGGTCGCAACCGGGTACCCGATACCCGTACCCTACCCGATACCCGGCTACCCGTACCCGGCCGGGTAGCCGTTTGCGACCCTGGTGCGGCCGGGTACGGGTAGGCCGTGAGTCACTGGTGAGTAACCGTTTGTCACTCATTTCAGGTAGGGTACGGGTACGGGTAGGGAACGGCTACCCGTACCCGGCTGGGTACGGGTATGGGTACCCATTTGCGACCCTGGTGCGGCCGGGTACGGGTACGGGTAAGGAATCAAAACCCGTTTGCGACCTCTGCTACTCAGTCATAGGCGCCTGAGATGGCTTGGACACGTGCGCCGCATGCACGATGGCAGAATACTTTAAGGGTGCCGTGTACGGCGAGCTGGCATCAGGCACACGGGACACTGGTCGTCCAGACCTGTGCTTCAAAGATGTCTGCAAACGGGACATGAAGAGTTCAAGTTCATTTCAAGTTCATGTATTAGGTGTAGCCCTGTGAGCCATTCGGCTCTTGAATCGGGTGCAACCGCAACAAAAAACAAAAACATGAACAAAAAAAATCTTAAAGTGAATATGTGACTAAGTGCAAACAGAAAATCCAAGAAAAGACAGCAAAATATTGCAGGAAAAAAAATCACCGTACACCAACGCTGCGTGCAAAAATCCCAGCGGGATGCAAGTCAAACAACAACAACAACACCAACCACAAGACAACTTAGATTAAGAGCTGTGACATCAACCCAGGGGACTAGGAGAAAACTGCCTGGTGACCGACTGATCTGGCAGCAGGCTGTGAAAACAGGCCTACTCAGGAGAGGCGAGGAGAAAAGACACACCGCTTAGCAAACCAAGAGAGAGACGTAACGACAAATCAACTGGTGCTGCCACCGCATTCACTTGCAATTGCTGTGGCAAGGATTGCCACTCAAGGATTGGGCTACGAAGTCATTCTCGGCGCCTGCAAAACCTACAGGTGACCTCGTGAAGTGCAAAAGAATTGTCTATCGAGACACACAGGCCGATGTGTAGTGTGGTGTGTGTTTGGTGTGGTGTATGTGTGGTGTGGTGTATGTGTGGTGTGGTGTATGTGTAGTGTGGTGTATGTGTATTGTGGTGTGTAGTATAGTGTGGTGCGTGTTTAGTGTATAGTGTGGTGTATGTGTATTGTGGTGTGTAGTGTAGTGTGTAGTGTAGTGTGGTGTGTAGTGTGGTGTGGTGTGTAGTGTGGTGTGTAGTGTGGTGTGGTGTGTAGTGTGGTGTGGTGTGTAGTGGTGTGTAGTGTGGTGTGTAGTGTGGTGTGTAGTGTAGTGTGGTGTGTAGTGGTGTGGTGTGTAGTGTGGTGTGTAGTGTGGTGTGTAGTGTAGTGTGTAGTGTGGTGTGGTGTGTGGTACAGTGTGGTGTGTAGTGTAGTGTGGTGTGTGGTACAGTGTGGTGTGTAGTGTGGTGTGTGTGTAGTGTGGTGTGTGTGTAGTGTGGTGTGTGTGTAGTGTGGTGTGTGGTGTGGTGTGTGTGTAGTGTGGTGTGTGGTGTGGTGTGTGTGTAGTGTGGTGTGTAGTGTGGTGTATGTGTAGTGTGGTGTGTGTGTAGTGTGGTGTGTAGTGTGGTGTGGTGTGTGGGGTGGTGTGTGTGTAGTGTGGTGTGTGTGTAGTGTGGTGTGTGTGTTGTGTGGTGTGTGTGTAGTGTGGTGTGTAGTGTGGTGTGTAGTGTGGTGTGGTGTGTGGGGTGGTGTGTGTGTAGTGTGGTGTGTAGTGTGGTGTGTGTAGTGTGGTGTGTGGTACAGTGTGGTGTGTGTGTAGTGTGGTGTGTGTGTAGTGTGGTGTGTAGTGTGGTGTGGTGTGTGTGTAGTGCGGTGTGTAGTGTGGTGTGTAGTGTGTAGTGTGGTGTGTAGTGTGGTGTGTAGTGTGGTGTGTAGTGTGGTGTGGTGTGTGGTGTGGTGTGTGTGTAGTGTGGTGTGTAGTGTGGTGTGTGTAGTGTGGTGTGTAGTGTGGTGTGTGTGTAGTGTGGTGTGTAGTGTGGTGTGTGTAGTGTGGTGTGTGGTGTGGTGTGTGTGTAGTGTGGTGTGTAGTGTGGTGTGTGTGTAGTGTGGTGTGTGTGTAGTGTGGTGTGTAGTGTGGTGTGTGTGTAGTGTGGTGTGTAGTGTGGTGTGTGGTACAGTGTGGTGTGTAGTGTGGTGTGTGGTACAGTGTGGTGTGTAGTACAGTGTGGTGTGTAGTGTAGTGTGGTGTGTAGTACAGTGTGGTGTGTGTGTAGTGTGGTGTGTAGTACAGTGTGGTGTGTAGTGTAGTGTGGTGTGTAGTACAGTGTGGTGTGTGGTACAGTGTGGTGTGTAGTGTGGTGTGTGTGTAGTGTGGTGTGTGGTACAGTGTGGTGTGTAGTACAGTGTGGTGTGTAGTACAGTGTGGTGTGTAGTGTGGTGTGTAGTGTGGTGTGTGGTACAGTGTGGTGTGTGTAGTG